TTTATCACTTTTCCCTTTTTGGGGGGGGTCATCAAGTTTTTGACAGCTTGCTAGGCGACTGGTGGTCCTCGGATGTTGCCATATCCTAAAAGTGGTACAATGGGTGAAAAGGTTGAAAAGCCCTGCCATAAGCCAGTGGCCCCCAACGTTTTGGGCACCAGGGACTGGTTCCATGGAGAGAGGATCAACAGGGGAATGACTCTTTGTTTTCTAGAAACAGTGTCCATCACTCATTTCTTCCCGAGCCCAAAGTCAATAAAAATAGCCTGGATCTTCTTGAAGCATCTCTTAATAGCAGACCGTAAGGAGCTGGCCTTCAAAACAACTAATCTTGATTCTCAGTTTCCAAAGATCTTTAGTCAAGATTTTAAGCAGCATTTAACAACAAGGATAGTCTTCCAGGGGGGGAGAGAATTATCACACTCAGTAGCCCTACTTAGTAAGGCAAGTAATGAGAAGCAAAGAAGAGCTCGTAAATCGAGGAGTGAAATTATAATAAATGTGCGAATTGCAGCTAGTAACCTGGGTTAAACTATTTTTTTTAAATTTAGATGGAAGTTACACATAATAATAATGATGATGATGATGATGATGATGATGATGATGATGATGATGATGATAAACTTGTTCCAAACTCTTTTTTTCCCTCCCCCCCCCTTTGGCAGACTACGGCTGCTGGCTATTTCTACAAAGCAGCAGAAAAGGGTCACCTGGACGGGACTTTGCGCTGCTCCCAGTTTTACATTGCAGGAAACCTACCCGGCTTTCCCAGGGATCCCGAAAAAGCCGTCCTGTAAGTAATGATCAAGGAGAAACGACTGCAAAAAATATATATTACTTGGTTGACTATTAGGTGATTAGTAGGCTATGCTTGCAGGCCACCTTTCTAATTGGGGTCCCACGCAAGGCAGAGATCGTTAGAAACTCTGCAGGAGCTCTTGAGGATAAATAAGGTAATAACTAACCATCCCTCTTTTGAACTTCACATTCTGTACAACTGTTAGCAGTGCTAGGAATTCTCACATACCATAAGTTCTTCTCCTTCTCCTTCTCCTTCTCCTTCTCCTTCTCCTCCTCCCCCTCCTCCTCTTCACAAACCGCCTTCCCTTCTAGCACTGATGATGTTCCCTAGTTGGGTCATGAGACACTTTCAAGAAGACAAGAGATCACCAAGAGTGCTTCTCCTTCTCCTCCTCCTTCTCTTCACCAACCCCTGATGAAGACTTTTCCTTCAACAATGGAAGGGAAAGTCTTCATCGCCCCCTTCCCTTCTACCACTGATGATGTTCCCTAGTTGGGTCATGAGACGTTTTCAAGAAAACAAGAGATCACCAAGAGTGCTTCTCCTTCTCCTCCCTTCTCCTTATCTATCTCCTCCTCCCCCTCCCCCTCTCCCTCCTCATGGTATGTTGGATTGATCCTGTCAGCCATCATCCTCAGACAGACAGACAGACATAGATAGAGATGGATGGATGGATGGATGATAGGTGATAGATAGATAGATGGGTAGATAGATAGATAGATAGATAGATAGATAGATAGATAGATAGATGGATGGATGGATGGATGGATGGATGGATGGATGGATGGATGGATGGATGGATGGATGGATGGATGGATAGATAGATAGATAGATAGATAGATAGATAGATAGATAGATAGATAGATAGATAGATAGATAGATAGATAGATAGATAGATAGATAG